TGGAGAGTGGGCGACTCGCCGGTCCCTGCGAAGCCGCTTGGGGACCCGGAGGCACACAGGGAACGGACGCGAGTGAGCCGAGGACGGCGGGCGTGGTCACCCGCGAGTCCCAGCCAGGCGCAGATGCGACCTAGAGATCGCCCACCCGAGGGGTTAGGGGAGGAGCCCGACTGAGCGTAGAGAGGGCGAGACCAGGGGACCCCCAGGAGCCTCCTCAAGACCAGTACCTCTGAAGGTAGAGGCACTGGGACAAGAAAGCGTCCCTGGGAGAGACTAGGTTGCCTACCCCGGCCTCCCATCTTCCTTTCGCTTTTATGAGGCGCCTGTCTCCAAGGTTGAGGGTCTTGACCGCCCACCAGGCCAGCCAGGGCGCATCTATCTTATCTTCTTCCACCAACCCCAGGAGCACCTCAGCCCCTAACCCTAGGGCCACCCGTCCTCCCACGTCCACCAGACATTAGGATCAGTGTTGTCTGAAAATGTCTTTATTTTTAAGCACAAAAATTGAGACTTAACATATACATTTGTACATGGAGAAAACAATCCCAGAAAGGAGTTTACAAAACCCTGGCCGCTGCCATTATCAGAGGCTCCGGGCCTGCCTGAGCCAGCTGACAGCCAAGGAGCTGCCTCAAGATGGGCCCAGGTCCCTGAGGCAGGAGGCTGGCCAGCTTTGTGAGATGTCCTTGCTGTCCACAGGCACTCCAGCAGCCTCTGGAGGACAGGTTGCAAGTCCTAGGTGCCCATCGAAATGACATTCCTGGGGAATCCCAAGGCGAGTGAAAGGTGATCTGGACCCCACTCCAGGTAAGAGGGTCCTCAGAGAGGTGGCTCACCAGTCCCACCTGAAGAATGCGGTTCTGGACTGATGCCCTCCCTATGTCATACAAGCTGGATATTGCTGATGGGGGGATGAGGCTGGGGTAGAATCTGAGGCTAGTGCCAAGGGCAGCTGTCCCTCAGGAACAGAGGGAATCAAAGCCAACAGGACAGAACTAAAAGGCTAGCAGGACAATCTGGGGTCAGTGTCCTCTGTCCCTCCCCATTCCGAAAACCCCAACCAACCACACTGCACATTCAGAGAGAGAGGGCTGGGGGAAGGCCCCAGAGGGCACGAGGTGCTGCTCACACCAGGAGGGAACGGGGGCTAGAGGGCTACCAATATGTTTATGAAAAACATGAGGCAGGAGAGAGCCTGGGGCAACCCAGCCAGAGGCTCTGGAAGCCTAGAGACCACCCAAGTGAGATGGGAACAGTTGTACACCCACCCTGACTGAGTCCGCCTAAAGTGCATTCTGTGGAGGCTTATCCCAGCCTGGGGAGGAAGGGCAGGGACGTGGAAGCCACAAGGCTGTGTCTGTGGGGCCAGATTCAGGCCAGGCCTGCTGAGGAAGGAGTGGAGTGCCAGGAGCCAGGCAGAACGCTCAAGCTGGGGTGGGCCCCGTCAGCCAGTGATTCCAAGTGTGGGCGTGTCTGTGTGTGCAGGGAGAAGAAAACTTGACCCACTGCTTCCAGACAGGCAAAAGAATCCTACCAAGCCACCACCAGAGAAGAAAAGACAGCTTTGTTTTTTTGTGTGTAAAAGTCCCTGTCCCTCCCTCCCCTTCCAGGGAGAGCTGGTTGCTGAGGGGAGAGGAAGGAACATGGTAAGACCGTCGCCAGGTCTGTGCTGGACAAAACCACCACATAAGGCACCCACGGAAAGTGCAGCTCAGAAGGCAGGTGAGAGAAAAGGCTGAGGCAGACAGAAGAGTCAGGACTAATTCCCCTGGAAGGCTCCCTGGGCAGCGGAGGAGGCCGCACTGCGGAAGGTTCTGCTGCTGAAGATGCCCTGGGAGAACTCCTCCTGGGCCTGCTGGAAGCTGGCACCCGTCCGGCGGTACAGGGAATGTACCTGGGGAGGAACAGGAAGGTGAGGGGAGTCCCCACCAGGAACCTAGCCATCCAGGCCACATTCCCAAAGGGTACACCAAAGCCCAACATTACTTGAACTTCCCACCCTGAGCCCAGAAGAAAGGTGCTGGACCAGCCAGGCTCGGTGGCTCAGCCTGCAATCCCACGCCTTGCGAGGCTGAGGTGAGTGGATTGCCTGAGCCCGTGGGTTCGAGACCCACCTGGACAACTTGGTGAGACCTCATCTCTACAATAAATCAAAAAATTAGCCGGGCGTGGTAGCGCGCACCTGTAGTTCCAGCTACTTGGAAGGCTGAGGCAGAAGGATCGCTGGAGCCCAGCAGGTCGAGGCTGCAAAGGCCAGGAGTGGCCAATGCACTCCAGTCTGGGCAATGGAGTGAGACTCCATCTCAAAAAAAAAAAAAAAAATGAAAAGAAAGGTGCTGGTCCTTTGGGGGCCCAAGAACATCTCCTGCCTCTGCCATGTGGTGGGTACCCCAGGTACCCGCTTCTTCAGATTTGCTACTGGGCCTGCCCTCAGCACTCACCCGCTGCAGGAGGAAGATGGCGAGCACAGCACAGAGGGTGAAGAAGCCAGCCACCACCATCATGATGATCGACACGGCCAGGGACTCTTGCTTCAGTGTCGACAGGGCTGCAATCCAACCACTACAAAGGAAAGAAGGGGCCGGGGGGCACAGTGGGAGTGGGCCCCGGGAGTCTCCAAGAGGGGTGCTTGTCCAAGTGGCTGCTGTGTCCTGATCATCGCTGTGGCATCTGCAGCAAAGGGAGCTCTGTGGGCCAGAAGCGCTGGGCCTAGCTGGGCAGGGTGGCTCACGTCTATAATCCCAGCACTTTGGGAGGCAAAGGCGAGAGGATTACCTGAGCTCAGGGGTTCAAGACCAGCTTGAGCAATATGGCAAGACCTCATCTCTACAATAAATAAAAAAATCAGCCGGGCATGGTGGCACATGCCTGTAGTTCCAGCTACTTGGAAGGCAGAGGTGGAAGGATCCCGAGCCTAGCTGGTCAAGGCTATGGTAGCCATGAGCATGTCACTGCACTCCAGCCTAGACGACAGAGTGAGACTCCAACTCAAATAAAAAAGCAAGCGCTGGGCCTGTGGGAGGCCAGGTCTCCATAAAGGCTGACAGGCCCACACTGTCTCAGCCTGTCCTCCCCTGGGACCTCAGAGATAGATTCACACAGGGACTCTCCTGGCTGTGAGAGGTCTAGCAGGGAGGATGTGGTTGCAGGCTTCATACAGTCAGAAGTAGCACTGGGCTGGGCTTCTCCTGCAGCTTTGGGGATGAAGGGCACAAAAAGCTTAGCTGCTCCTGAGGATCCATCCTCTGGGAAGGAGAACCATGGACAACAACCCTGTCACCTCAGCTCCTCCCACCAGAGCCCAGTCATGTCACCTCCCTGAGCCCCAGTGTCCTCATCTGTAAAAGATATCCTCACATTTTGATTTCAAAACTTACTACAAAGCTACAGTAATCAAAACAGTAAGTGACTGGCATAAGGATAGACCTACATACAGTTCAATGGATCAATAGATCAGTGGAACAGAATTGAGATTCCAGAAATAAACCTATATACCTATGTGGGCAATTAATTTTTGACAAAGGTGTTAAAACAATTCAAAAAAGAAACAACAGTCTTTTTGACAAATGGTTACTGGAACAACTGGATATCCACATGCAGAACAATGAAGTCAAACCATACACAAAAGTTAACTAAAACGAATCAAAGACTATTTCTCCAAAAAGATAACAGGCACGTAAAAGATGCTCAATGGCAGTTTCTTTCGCCCATATCAACTCTGGTGTGTCTCCGTTTCTTTTCTCCCTTCTTTCTCTAATAGACATTATTTGAAAAGTTTGCTGGTCGCTCTAAAATTCATTTTAGGAATGAGCCAAAGAATCCATGGGTTTTGGCCAGCCGCAGTGGCTCAAGTCTGTAATCCCAGCACTTTGGGAGGCAGAGGTGAGAGGATTGTCTGAGCTCATGGGTTCAGGACCAGCCTAGATGAGCCTTGGTAAGATCTCGTCTCTATAATAAATAAAAAAATAAGCCAGGCGTGGTAGCACGTGCCTGTAGTTCCAGTTATTTGGAAGGCTGAGGTGGAAGGATCACCTGAGCCCAACAGGTCGAGGCTGCAGTAGCTGTGAACATGGCACTGCACTCTAGCCTGGACAACAGAGTGAGACTCCAACTCAAAAAAAAAAAAAGAGACATTCAGTTAATGCATATCAAAACTACATACAGTAGAATGCTATATCTCAAGGTTCACTATAATCTAAAAAAAGGCAGGTGTGGTGGTAATCCCAGCACTTTGGGAGGCCAAGGCGAGAGCATTGCCTGAGCCTGCAGGTTTGAGACCAGTCTAGGCAACATGGTGAGACCTCATCTCTACAATAAATTAAAAAAATCAGCCAGGTGTGGTAGTGCACACTTGTAGTTCCAGCTACTTGGAAGGCTGAGGTAGAAGGATCGCCAGAACCCAGCAGGTTGATTCTGGGGTGGCTGTGAGCATGCCACTGTACTCCACCCTGGGCAATGGAGTGAGACTCCAATTCAAAAAAATAAATAAATGAAAAGAAAAAATGTTGCTGCCATGGTGAATGTACCCCTCAAAAGGCATGTGTGAAGGGGAGGGAGAAGCTCACCTCATCAACAAGGGTACCTGCATAATGAACATTTGTTTACCTAACCCCGAATTGTACCCCACATCTTTAAAAAAAAAAAAGCATGTGTGAATGCTATAGTTTGAAAGCGTCTCCCCAAAATGTGTTGAAAACAGAATCCTGAATGCAGCAGTGTGGGGAGGTAGGTCTAATGGGAGGTGGGCTCTGCCCTCACAGGTGAATTAATGTTGACAACAGAAGAACTTGAGCCTTCAAGTTCAATATCTTTTGCTCTCTCACCATGCAATATCTTATGCCAAGTTATGATACAACAAGAAGCTCTCACCAGATGCAACCCCTTGATCTTGGACTTCCCAGTCTTCAGAACCATGAGCCAAAGAAATTTCTATAGTTTGCAAATTACCCAGTCAGTGGTATTCTGTTTTGGCAGTACAAAACAAATTTAAGACAGTTGGTGAGGATACAGAGAAACTAGAACCTTCATACATTGCTGGTGGGAATATAAAATGGTTCAGCCACTGTGGGACAGTTTGGTAGTTCCTCAAAAAGTTAAACACAGAATTACCATATAAACCAGCATTTCTGCTCCTGGGTAGATATCCAAAAGAAGTGAAAACAGAGATGGGCTCAGTGGCTCAGCCTGTAATCCTGCGCCTTGGGAGGCTGAGGTGAGTGGACTGCCTGAGCCCGTGGGTTCGAGACCCACTTGGGCAACTTGGTGAGACCTCATCTCTACAA